ACGCAGAAGGAGATATAAGATAGCTTATTAGATCACGATTTGGTGCCTGTCGCAGGCACCTACCTGTCTGTACCCGGGAATTGCTCGGATCGTAATCGATCCAAGACTTTGTGAGGGTGGCGTCGGATGGTCCGATTCCTGTGGGCTGGATGCGAATGGATCATCCTACGGAAACGGTCACAGATGATGAGGTCAACATGATCACACGAACGAAAAAGACTGGAAACAAGATAACGATGATCGAAGAACTTGACTCACTCGGTGGGTGCTGAAGAATTCGCAGCCCGGAACTTGAGAGCGGATCCCTCGATCAGCCAGATCTTCTTGTCCAGCAAGCCGAGCAAAGCCTCGGCGTCTTCTCGTCGAATCACACTAATAGTAGATGAAATGGTGTTACCAGGATCAGTCTTAAATCGAAAAATATTCAACTTCAAATTCACGACTCACTTGATGAAACCCGTTCCCCCACTCGCGTTTGCATCGCCACCCATTCCGCTGTCCGTAATCACATGCACCTGAGGAAAAGTCACATACATAAGCCCACTATATGCATACAAAGAGAATAAAAGGCAAATTTACTGATGCAATTGCGATCCCTTCGAACAGATCCCACAGATCACTCTTCCCCCAATGAGCAGGGAAGTTGGCCACGAAGACGTTGGTCGACTTAGGTCGCGAGGAAGGGTCTTGTGAAGGGATGATAGACTCATCTACCAATTTGTCAGCCATCCTTTTTTGAGCTTCCTCGGCGGCTTCCTCCTGAGCTATCTGCTGAGCCTTCCATGCTGAGGCGGCTTGGGAACCAAAACCAGGGCCCCGTCGGTTGGTGGTAAAGGGGGGCGAACCGACTGAGCCGGAGAGGCTCTTGTCCGTGGATGAGCACGATCCACTCGCATTCCGCGTAGCGCTCAGTAGCTAAGATCACCGAAACGGGTGTGTTGGCATCAGTCATTTGCGCGTGAAGAAGACCTAGTTCAGACTTACTCCCGAGCCGATATAGGACACAGCTGGATGATCGGATCCTGTCATCTGGACAGGTCGGCAGGTAGTGATCTGAGAGTTTGTCAGTCCATTATCAATGTCATAGATGAAAATCGCAAGCTCACCTCCTGCATCTGGGCGTCAACGGTTTGTTGACATAGAGTAAATTGGGTTCCATCGCGAGAGAAAAGAAGGGGATCAAAAGAGTCGTGTGGAGAGGATGGATATGGAAGAGGAAGAGATGGATCCCAGTCTGAGCTGTACTTCGGCTCATTGGCGCGCGAAACATGAATGCGTTGGAGTTGGGTTAATACCCCACAGTCGATCGTAGGTCTAGATTCGTTTTGCAAGTCATCTGAAAATTGAACTAGGTGTTGGAGAATCTTTTCGAACATGATGAAGAGGAGCGATGATAAGGGTGATTTCTTTGTTAACAATTTCTATCAAACGACGTAGAAGACGAGGAAGAAAGGGGCAAGGAAGAAATTCAGTGATCGAGGTTTCTGCAAAGATTGCTATAAGAGATGGTAAGTTTGATAATGTGAGGGCGAGCGAGGAAAAAAGACGAGTGTAAGGTATTAGGGAAAGGTAATAGATGAGGAATACTAGGCGTAGTAGACTAATAGTTTTATAAGGGAAGATGAGAAATGAATATTATGAAAAGCTGAGGTGTTGAGGAGATGGGACGAGGATAGCTCTAGACTTCGCGAATTTATAGTGATTTTGGCCAGCTAGAAAACGCGTTCTTGCACAAGTGTTGAGGCCTTCACGCCAGTCAGGTGATTCACCTAAGCCCAACCACATATGGGCCCCTCTCGCGCTGCTATATGACGACTTAAGTTTCCGGGTGGATCAAATAAGGGAATGACCAGCAACGGGAGAAGGGCAGTGAAAATTGTTTGTGAGTAGGCTTGAATCAGCTGAAGTTCTTTTTGTACGACCAGTATCGGTATGGGAACGGATGGTAATTCTTTTCTTATTTTCGGTGCGGCACGGTGAGCCAATACGTGGTAGGCTCATCAAGGGATACCACTCTTATAGATCCCCCATCAGCTATATATATGAGAATATCCAGAGGGTGACCTACCCAAAATTGCGTCTAACTAAGGTCTCCTCAAGATGATGAGATGTCGATGTTCAATTGCGGAGCGGGGCGAGGGTCCACGCCATCATGACACTGATCAGGACCTACTTCACCGGGTGAGCCAGACTAGAACTGCTAGGTATTATTGGCTTATGCGCCAGATCAAAACTCTCGAAGCGTGATATGGGATACATATCAATCAGATATTGCTTATTTTCTTTAGTTATCAATTGGGAATAACACTATAGCAGTGTTGATAGTAATACAAAGTGTGCTTTTGAAGTTTAAATACGTGTGAAGATACATTTCTCTGGTGCCTTATCAGTACTCAATACAACAGAGCTCTTTCTGATTGCACCTGTGGCACACAGAACGTTCGGCCCCGAGCCGAAGGTAATGTACGTCGTACCTTCGGAATGTATCCGAAAAACCCCCCGCAGATGAGCTCAGATGTGTCAGACGACTCTGAGGAAAAAAATTGAATCAAGTCATTCAATTTTTACAAATCTGCATGTTTAGATGGCCATGCTAGGTGTAGTGAAAACCCTTCTTTGAACACCTTTTCAAGTTTTTTTTCAACCAACATACCTTTGTACACCAAAGGACTTGTAAAGGTGCCAGATGACCCAGATCAGACGGAGCCAGACTCATCTGGCGCACTCTGGCACACTCTGGTATAATCTGAGACTCTCAAGCCCGGAAAGACTCCTCTGGCTCGATCTGCTTCTCTCAGACTCATCTGTCAACAATCAATCTGACATATGTAATCTGAGACTCCAAAGCTTCACCTCAGACTCATCTGATAGAAAACAACCAGAGCATCTCTCACCAGATGAATCTGCTGGTACAACTACAGATCTTTCATCTCAAGTCCTTTACGTCGGGGCAATCTCATCTGGGCCTATCTGCCCAAAGTCCTTTACATACAAATCAAGCAATTGGAGTCCAAAAGATAAGGGGCAATCTCATCTGGTCTCATCTGCACCTCAATTGTTCAACGCCACAATCCTCACACTCTGTCCACTCATCCAGTCCACTCATCCAGACGTTCTTGAAATGAGTGTTGAAATCTCACATATGTTCTTCATTGCATTACAAGAAGTACTCTGATCACTCAAACTTCCAAATTTCTTTCTATCATATCCTTCCACCGAGCTTCTAAAGCTTTGTCATCAGTAATTGTTGCTTCACAATAGTCGCGGGTACTGTGCAGCAAAGACACAAGATCGGTATCCCATGTACAAATTAAGCGTGTATGATCAAGAAAAAGGCCATAATATGTAGAGTCCATGACTTTGCTGCACTCATCCCAAGTCGTCTTTGTAACGATGCGAGAAGACTTGCCTGTCACCAAGTCTATGGGCAGAGCGGTGGCTGTCGGATCCCAGGCTACAGATGTGTAAGAGAAACAAACCACAATCAGAACAGAACCCAGTGAGCAGAGAGTGGAATAGAAATACACTAACCCAAATCCGCCAGCTTGACCACATTTTGGATCTTTAAATTTGTCGCGAGTGACCACCTCAACATCTGCCGTACCTCATGGGCAAGTCTCCTTAACTCTTCCTCGCAACGGCAGTACATTAAATAAGCTTGTATGCCATTCTGTGTGTCCACATCCACAGCCCATTTCTCATTTGGATGACTGAGATGGCAAAAGTTCCAAAAGTTGTCGTCGAGTGGGAGAGCTTTTGCTTCCTCCAACGTGTAGTTAACTAGTGGTGCATCACTCGGATAGGCAACGTTGTACTTTACAACAAGATCTCGGAAGGTCTGCCATTTTGTTTTGAATACTGACTCTTTATTCGTCATCAGAACTTTCATGCGTTCCTGCAGCGAAGTACCTATTCAACAAGGTCAGCAGGTAGTAAAATTCAATCGATTATTGGCGTTTTGTAACAAAACAAACCTGATTCCCACTTTCTTCTCAGTTCAATTATACCAACCTTTGCCTCATAAAGATTTGCCTTTGCCATTGTAATCTGTATCAACAAACGACCGGCCGGATCTGTTATTTTGAAGAACAAATGAGCGAAGATTAGCAAAGAGATGGACCAATGTGATGAGGAATGTTTGACCTCGGGCCCCTGGTATATTTCTGAATTTTTCACTACCGAGTTCCATCAATACCTCTTCTACCTCTTCTTCCAGGAACACGATATGACCTGGTAAGCTTGCAAGAGTGCGATTCTCAGCATTACTTCTCTGTTGACGGCTGCGTAATGCAAGCAGTTTTTGTCTGAAGTTGCATGAAGCATCTAATTAGTTACATAGGATACATATATGAAGGTCAGAGTCAGAGAGACAGCGTACTTAGCCTCTCTCAAGTCTTCTTCATGCTCAATCAGGTCCACAAGTCGCTTTCGAAGCTGTTCTGCATTTGTGTCATCAATTATCTCCAATTGCACCTGTTTTTGACGAGCCCATTGACCAGCGAAATAGCCATGCGTATAGCCCCGCTTGAGCTCTAGGTCAGTAAGTATCTGTAGTTTCTGTGCCCGAGTTTTTTCAGTTATCATCAACTTATGGTTGAGTGATTGGGCTTTTTTGAAAACAAGGATGTTAGATATGTCGAATCAAATATGTCATAGAATTACTGACCTGCATTTGTGCGTAAGACATGATTCTCGTGTTGAGCTTTGAGATCTATAGCATCAAGTCGGTGCTGCTTTGTAGCATACCTCAGAGGTGCAACCAATTTAAATAATTTGAACCAACCTCGCTCACAACCCTCGCCATCAGACAGGCCCCAGCCAATATTGATTCTGGGGTTGTATTCCAATTGGCAACTCCAATTGTGTACATAAGCGTGAAAAACGCTTGTTCCAAATTTAAACCTACCAAGAGATCGCTCATCTTCGAACAAATTATGCTAGATGAATTCATAAATAAAGTCAATATACTGTGATTTTACTGATCAGATAATGTGGTCAATCAATACTTAACTAAAACAAGACCCTTTTCGGTGTTACATCCTATGTCATAAAGGAAGGCAACCTGCGAGTCGGCCTCATCCAGTTGTTCAAGTAGCCAGTCCATGAGCGCATGAGCAAAGTATGATCTACAGAAAGGTACGCAAGTGAGTGCGAGTCCTGTTGTATGTCCAATAAACATAACCAAGATCTTACTTCTCACCACTTTGTACTATGTTTACAAAGCTCAGCTGGTGATCGTGGCGGCATACCATCGCCAAAAGACCTGTGTCATCACAGGCACGCCAAGTCGAGCCACTACGGGAATCATTCGCAGCCGTGTGCATCTGTGTGCATGGATCCTAAGGAGGATGATATTGTGGATAACATAAGTCGTGATCTAGGACTGGTGTTATACAAATTCAATAAAGTGAAACATGACTTACCGGTGGAAGATTTGAAGCGCTTGGATGTACACTCGCCCACTTTTCAACTTGTTTCGGATGAAGAAAGAGACTTGGATATCGAATCTCAATCTCGCTGACCTCCACACTTGCTGATTTATGTCTTCTTTGTTGGAAGTTTCCGTCAATACAAACTACGTAGTCTGGTTCGTCATCTTCTTTAGCATGTACGTTTTCGCCAAAACACCGAGGGCAATTTGCTGCTAGCTTTTCTTTACTCAGAAGCTCCATTGCACGGAACTCCAGGTCTTGCTTGAGCTGATTCAAGCGTCTATATGCATCAACTGCGCAGGAAAGGCATCGACCCCATCTGCGAGGCTAAACATAAAAATACTTGTATTAGTGTAATTGCAAGAAAACCTTTGAGCATAATAATTTACATACCTTCTTGGTGACATCCTCCGAAAATGCTAGGGCAACTCGGTGAAAAAAGTCCAGTGCCAGGGCAAAAGCGTGCGTACGAATGCAGCAATATCTCCAGAGGCAATCATGTAGCCGGAGCAGTCGTAATGAGAAGGCCATTTCCGGATGAACTGGGGAACCACCGACATAGCCCATTTGAATCAGACGGACTTGGTCCAGTTGGCACGAGCAGAATTCAATCGACTGTTTCTTTTGCGCTGTCATATGACCAAGAGGTTTTATATGAGTTTAAGGTCAAATCATGAATCAAAAGACACTTACATAGTATATCAATCAGGTCGAGTTCTCGAACCCGCTTTTTTGAGGCAGGACATCGACATGGATCTTTCAAGTCGATGTTCCAAGTTTCGGGTTGACTCCAGTCAAACGTGAGCAGTTTGCATCGCATGAAGCATCTGAACATCGGTTCAATCACGTCCTGCCACTGTCGCTCCTCTCGGATTCGACGCTTGCGATTGTAATCGCCCACCGCTGCAGTTACTACACAACCAACACCAGAGAGTGACGCAATTGACTGCTCAGAATCTTCCGATTCCGTTCCTGAATCGATCTCGGGAGACGATACTTGATTCATGTTGTCATCTTCACTATTGTAGTCACCAGGATTGCCTTCGATGAAAAAGAAATCATTTACCACACTGGTTGAGGTGGAAGTCACAGTGTCCCGTGGTTGGCTTAGTACACGGCTAAGCTGGTCACATTCGTTATGGCACCATTCTTCTTCAGCTTTGTCCATTTCGGAAAGTTCTTTCAAAGATTTACTCGACTTTTGCTTGGGCTTCTCTAAACGATTTTTGGGTAGCAATCGATTTGATGTCGAGCGAGGTGCCATTTTGATAAGTTCGCGTGAGGAAGTAAGATGAGAAATGCAAACAGGACGTTCAAGAACTCCAGGATGTCCAGGCACATCCAAGTGTGGCACTTTACCAGCGGTTGATATGCAGGAACCCCCAGGGGTTTCTTAATCCATTTTCGTATCATTCCGTTTTCGTATTAGTAGTCTACTTTGGGCATGTTCAATCTCTTCTATCTCGATGGTTTGATAGAGGTAGTTGGAATCCCACCATTTAAAACAAATGGCTTTGTCCGTTGGAAAGTAACTTAGCTTGGGTGATGGCCATCAAGCTCACACTCTGACAGTGCCTGTCTTACGTCATTTTGCGCAAAAAAACCTTACTGTGCTTTTTAAATTTGATGGGGTCTCTCCAACACAGACCCCCAGTGGCTTTTTGAGACACAAACCGCGCCAATGGTAACCAAGGTTGATAATTTGATGATGTTAAGTTTGCCTGTTGTGAAATCAATAGCAACAAACCTGACCAACAAATCATTGGGTGGCCAAAAGGCTTTGGTGGTCATATCTCTGAAATTAAGTCAAGAATATACTTTGAGCGCTGAAGATGAGGAGTAAGAAGGAATCTGTTTACAGAGACTATCCAGGATGTTTGGTTTTCCATCTCATCTGTGTGCAAGCAAGGATTAAAGTGATTATCTGAGGGATTTTAGGGGAGTATGAGATCTGAGTAGGGGGATCAGAGGCAGTGAGAAACATGGTTTTAAATGAATAAATATGAACTCATGATGGTGTATGAGTTCATGATGATGTCAGAATGAACACAAGTTGATTGTATTCTATAATTGAACAAATTAATGAGCAGTCTTAATTCCTAATATACCACTGTGAAGAAGTTTTTTGTTCAATGTATTGCAATTGTGGGGGTCTATGTGAGGTACGGAGTACTAATAAAACTTTTACAATATGGTAGATGGTATGAAATTGAAACCAGATTCATGATGGGACATGATAAGTTTATCATTGGTTTGATTTGAGGCATTGCCGCATGTCATGATCACCACTTTATTGAGTGAATTGTCTCATTTTGAGTCTATCTCGAGGTTTTATGTGAACCACAGAACTTCAATAAAACTTTTCCAGTTTATCACTTACATGAAACTTGGACTTGGTTTCATGATTGGCTCACAACACTTAATTGATCTTGCAATTTTTTCTGAGTAATTTGAATGAATGATCATGTTGGAGGTGACTACAGCTACCATCTGATATGAGATGATAGGGTCAGTCGCACCAAAAAAAAAGGAATTTCAAAAGTTGAAAAAAATTGTTGCAGAAAGTTGAAAATATGATGGAGTAATGTTAGTACATCATAAATGTTTATGAAATTTTGGTTGAAATCAAAAACTGTGAAAGTTTTATTGGAGCACAGTCATCCAAAAATAACCCCACAATAGTAGAAAACAAGGTGTAAGATGGGCATAGATTTGTATTAGACTCCCAGGAAATGCTCCCAAAGATGCACATTTGATGACTAATTTGGAAAGTGTTTCAACTTCAAACTCATCTATTGTACTAGAATAGTTTCATTGGAGCACTGTGATTCACAAAATCACACAATATTGTGCACAAAAGACACCAAGCAAGCTATTTGAAGGCCATGGCACCCTTAAATTCTATCAGAAACAGTGCCAAATGTTGGGCCATACATACACCAATTTGTACCTGTGCCTACTTATATCACATTTACCATACTGTGAAAGTTTTATTGAAGCTCCGTGGTTCACATCAAACCCCGAGATAGACCCAAAATGAGACAAATCTCTCAATAAAGTGGTGATCTTGACATGCGGCAATGCCTCAAATCAAACCAATGATAAACTTATCATGTCCCATCATGAATCTGGTTTCAATTTCATACCATCTACCATATTGTAAAAGTTTTATTAGTACTCCGTACCTCACATAGACCCCCACAATTGCAATACATTGAACAAAAAACTTCTTCACAGTGGTATATTAGGAATTAAGACTGCTCATTAATTTGTTCAATTATAGAATACAATCACCTTGTGTTCATTCTGACATCATCATGAACTCATACACCATCATGAGTTCATATTTATTCATTTAAAACCATGTTTCTCACTGCCTCTGATCCCCCTACTCAGATCTCATACTCCCCTAAAATCCCTCAGATAATCACTTTAATCCTTGCTTGCACACAGATGAGATGGAAAACCAAACATCCTGGATAGTCTCTGTAAACAGATTCCTTCTTACTCCTCATCTTCAGCGCTCAAAGTATATTCTTGACTTAATTTCAGAGATATGACTTTGAGCTACCTCCCGCTGATGTTTCAAAATAACTAATCATGACTCAAGTCTTGACTGTAAATATCCCTGTCCTCAGTTTAGCATATGTTTGCCTTTTACTTGTGTACTTTGATATGTAGAAAGTGATGAAGTGGATGTCCAAGTTCATATCCTGTAGGTGAAGGATATGACTGTTACACGTGTATCCTACGTCCGAAGTTACATATATCCGGCCGGGGTCGAGTTCGAAAGTACTAGAACAGATTCTCCAAACCCTTTCAACACTGTCAATTGGCTTTCAACCAAGCTATGCCTAAATAAGTACTACATGTCCACCTTTCGAACAACCTCTTAACCAACTCACGAGTCTCAAACAAGTTAAAACACCATTCACTTTCTGTCTCATAAACCATTTTGATTTCAATCACGTACTATCTCCTTCTTATCAATCAATTTAACTCTCAATGCCTCCTCGCACTCGAAAAACTCGAGCCTCAGCCACCTCTAAGTCGGCTTCTGATCAACCAGGTCCAGCTGATTCAACTTCAGCCACTCTTTCAACATCTTTGCAGAGTTCAGCCACTGGCACCAACTCAGGCACCGCTGCGGCCAAGCGAGCTCCGCAACGCAAGGCTCCTCGAGCTAAACGACTTCGTAACAACGCAACAGCCAATACACCTGAGGAATCCACTCTCGATCAGTCTACAAACCCTGAAGGCAACGTTGATAATGTTACTACTTTGAACCAATCTGATGATCTCAACAGAACTCAAAATTCAAACAATGTAAACTCAACTCAACAAACTACTCAACAGACCCGGCTTAGATCTGACGAACAAAATTCAAACAATTTAAACTCCACTCAAGAGTTGAACTCGACTCAAGAGACTACTCAACAGACCCGGCTTAGACCTGACCAACAAATTTCAAACAATTTAAACTCAACTCAAGAGTTGAACTCGACTCAAGAGACTACTCAACAGGCCCGGCTTAGATCTGACCAACAAATTTCAAACAATTTAAATTCAACTCAAGAGTTGAACTCGACTCAAGAGACTACTCAACAGCCCCGTCTTAGACCTAACGAAACTAAACCTACATTTGACAATTACCAGTCTTTAATGAACTCGTGGCCTCCTGGCCGTATAAAACAACATCTCGATGATAATAAGCCTTCCAATCGTACTCGGCCATCTCATGAGATTAAAGAGCGTGTCAAATTGATCTACAGACGTTTTCAGCACGAGCTCCTTATGTTGGCTATGGTGGGCGAGTTAAGTGAAACGACTATCAAGTCTATTATGTAAGTATCTATCTTCATGAAGTCTCTATTATGTGCTTTGATACTGCTTTATCGTCTGCTAACACAGTGTCAATCAACCTTTGCAGACCTGGATTGAATGCAAAAAAACCAAAAGGTCTAAGTTGTTATACACTTTTCCTTGAGTATTATTCAGATTGTTTAGCGGAACCGAGTAAGTTTTTTTTCTTTTCAATGATTCATGTTTTATATATATACATGTCTGTATATTAAACCCCAAACTGCATTTTGTTCCAGTGCCTCTGAAAGGACAGGACGACATCGACGGTGAATCGATGCTTGCTGAACGCAACAAGAAGAATGGGGATCATTGGCAAAGTCTTACGGCCGACGAAAAAGCCGTCTTCGATCCAACTATATTCTTTGCTCTGGCTGGCGTACCTAACCCTCTGGCCCCTTTGGAATCAGATGAAGGCGAAGAGGTGGAAGATGACGAAAATGAACGAGGTGACTCGTTTGTACCAGTCCCGAAGGTTCATAAGCTCAGCGTTGAAGAAGACAGTCTTTACCGGCCCATTTACGAACGAGTTGTAGACTTGAAGAAGGTAGAAGCTCAAATAGCAAAGCCTCCAACAGGACCTTCAACCACTCAGCTCCAGCGTAAATCCAAGACCGCGATAGAGAAGATTGCACATAATGTAAGACTTTCCGCTATACTGTCTGTAGAAGCTGTCTCAATGCTGACTTATATGTTGTAGCTTGCTTGCGAAGCAAATCGATTGGACTTTGCCTACTACCTTGTAGCGACTAGCACAGTGACTCCAAACAATGCAAACGACCACGGATGGCTCAAGGAATTTACAACTCACCCACAGGTAGCGACTTGGGCCAACAAAACGTCACATCTTGCTACAGTGTTTGCAACATACTCGCAAGGTCAATCAATGGCAAAGGCAATTCATTTGGCTAATAACAAACCAGCAAAAAAACGTCACCGTCCTGACAAGCAACAGCCTAGTGATAAAATCAAGGTCGATTTGGGTCGTCTCTTAGCGGCTCTCACACGTAAGTTTGGTCTAGATCTTATGTCCTTGTCTATTCGGATTGACATCTTATCATACAATGCTTTCAGAGAAAACATTAGGATATCTGCCTAATCAAGGCTTCCCACAGACTGCCGACCCAGCCAATGAAATTAAAAAGAGAAGCTTACCAATTAGGATGGTTCTCATGGAGGGATCGAGATTAACTGATGAAAAGGTTGCTGTGGGGTTCAAGAAGATGCGGTCTGCCACAAGAAGTGACTGGGTGAATGATATCACCGATGGGAAATTTTGCTTAGTCAAACTTAGCATTGGTTCTGAGGATACAATTGGTGAGCCAGTCGCTTTGGACTCCAAGGATATTGAGAAGGCTTTGGTAACTCCTGCACGTGAAATGGCTAAGGTGGTGGAATTGGACAACAATCAAGCTACCGGTGAGCCCACTGTAAGTCAAGAGAGAAGAAAGAAAGGCAAACGTAAACAAGGGAGTGATAGCAGTGATAGCGAAGATGACAGTGAAGAGGAGGATTGATCGATCAAAAAAAAATCAGTTGTTCAAATTTTTGTACTTGCAAGAAATCATAAACGTGAATGTTTCAAACAAATAAATATATTTCCATTTAAACGTGAGAATGCGAGTTCACGAGCTTGTAACAGTGGGTACACATGATTCTCAGTCTCCTCAAATGTGAATGCATTGTGAAGTTTGCCCAGATGACGTGCCAGATTAAATTGCCCCCATGCAATTGGTGATGAGTATCTTGGTTAGATGAGGGGCCAGATGAGTTTGCCCTCTTGTGAGGACTTACACACTGTCACATTCATCTCGAACAGATTTTGTCCAGATGAGGCCAGATCTGTTTGCCTACTCTTCCAACTATACAGTAGCTACACATTCATGTCGAATGAATTTTGGCCAGATGACGCCAGATTTGTTTGCCCTCAGTGATTATGTACATACACTTACACATTCATGTCGAATAAATTTTGGCCAGATGAGACCAGATTTGTTTGCCCTTAGTGATCATGTACATACACTTACACATTCATTTCGAACAGATTTTGGCCAGATGAGACCAGATTTGTTTGCCCTTAGTGATCATGTACATACACTTACACATTCATTTCGAACAGATTTTGACCAGATTTTGACCAGATCTGTTTACAGATTTTTTTGCCTTTAGTGATTTACTCGGCAGCGTTGATTGCTTCTGACTACTTTTATATGTTCTTGCCCTCTACGAAGCGGTAGAGGTTTGGGAAGTACAATACCATTACCAAGGATGTACTGTTTCCGTTGACTCTCTTTTTGTAGCATTCGATCTAAAGCTCCGATATTTACGCAAGAGGATTGTTCCATTTGATTGATCGGATGAAAACTTAATGTCAACAGTCACGCAAATTGAGTTGTTGCATTATTCTACTTGCAGTGGGGGTGTGCATGATGTTAGATGGGACACATGAATCCGAGTCAAGTCACATTTACCTTCATCAGACTCGGAGGTGATTTTTTGACAGAGAAGTGGATGTGTCAACAGATAAATCTGCTGAGACATGCTCGGGTTGATTGTTGACAGATGAGGCTGAGAGAAGCAGATGAAGCCAGATGTGTCTGAGCTTGATGGTCTCAGATTATACCAGAGTGCGCCAGAATGCGCCAGATGAGTCTTTCCGGGCTTGAGAGTCTCAGATTATACCAGAGTGCGCCAGAGTGCGCCAGATGAGTCTGGCTCCGTCTGATCTGGGTCATCTGGCACCTTTACAAGTCCTTTGGTGTACAAAGGTATGTTGGTTGAGAAAAAAACTTGAAAAGGTGTTCAAAGAAGGGTTTTCACTACACCTAGCATGGCCATCTAAACATGCAGATTTGTAAAAATTGAATGACTTGATTCAATTTTTTTCCTCAGAGTCGTCTGACACATCTGAGCTCATCTGCGGGGGGTTTTTCGGATACATTTCGAAGGTACGACGTACATTATCTTCGGCTCGGGGCCGAACGTTCTGTGTGCCACAGGTGTTTATTTATCATCTCAAACCTCATATTTGTTTAGAACATTCAGATCATCATGTCATATCTTAAAAGGATTGCATCAGAAGAGGAAATCAGGTTACATTTTTAATTTTTCTATTTATTACAGAAATCTTATTAGCTATCACTTCAGTGGTTGTATTCATTATGTGATCAACATTTGTAAAAAATGTATTGGGTTTTATATTACATTGGTTTATCTTTCATTATTGGCACATCTGTTATGGGACTTGAAGTACTTCAGTACAGGGTCCTCTAACAAAACCTAACCACAATTCAAACAGTCTTAGCTGATGTCATAGGAATTGAGGTTAGAGAAACCAATTTTGAGATACAACAATATGATTTAACCTCCTTTTTTCTTTTGACCTTTATCTGTTCTTACTCTCTCATATATGTACATATATCTTGGAATCCAGTTCCTCTTTTTTATGTTCTGTTTTCATGAATATATTTTACACTTTTCTCTTCACATTCTAAAAGTTAGTTTCCTTTGCTCATTGTATAGAAACACTGGGTATTATTTGCTTTTTTGGACTTGAAAAATTGATTTTTCATTTTTTGAAATATTTTTTTATTTGGTCTGTTTTTTTGGTTATCTGCTTCTTGGAGTTGTCTTTTTCAAAGACAGTGATTTATTCTTGATATGATAGAAATATGATTTAAATAAATCAAATCGCACAGGAATCCCTAAAGGATCATGTTTCATCACTTTTTTCTTGCTGTACTTCAGTATATTTATGGCATAAGCTTCAAGACTTTGTTCATCAGGTATAGAGGCAGGCGAGCCTGCCTAAGTTCTAGTGATTAATAAATTTCAATATCACAAAGTCTTTGAACGTTTTCAATGAAAAGCCTCATACTCTTTTGATAAAGATGTCAAAATAATTGACTTGATCACTTGAGCTTTCCATTGAGACTTCAAATTTCAGAAACAATGAAATTTTAAAAACAATGGCTTCAACCCTCACATTGTTTTCTAGTGATGTTTTCCTTCTCCTGTTTGATCAATTTGAGATGTTGGACGATTTGGTTTCAAAGAAGTGTAAATTGGCTAGAAAGTATAAAAATTGACTGATTGCTCTAAAATCAATCGATTGCTTCAAAAAGCATAAAATTCAATTGTATATGAAGCAAAGTACAGTCGCATGATCAAGAGATCGAAGCAATCTTGGATAAGATTACAATCGGAGGGTACAAGTGTTGGAGGCCTTCATCTCTATTGTAAATGTGGTAGTAAGTTGGATAAAAAGCATAAAAACTGATTGGTGCATTAAATTTATGATTTGGGCTCAGACGCGAGAGGAAGGAAAACACCAAATTTAAGACTCTGAGGGCATTTTCAATGAAGATTCAAATGCTGGAGTTGCATAACTTTGTTGTCTCGCACTTTCTGGACACAACTTATACTGGGCCTCAGTGCTAAGTGGTAGCTCCCCCATTTCCGTGTCCAGATAGGCTTGCTCGTGAAGAATTAAACGGATTGCAAGGTTTTCTGCTATTCCGTCGGACATCGATGGCTTCAATACGGTCAGAGTCTAACCTTCAATTCTATTCCGTTAGACTTGCAGAATTGTCCCAATGGAAATAGCATAGAGGCCAAAGTTGGATCAATCGGAAAGTATTCATATTTTATAGGCACAGTTATCACCTTGAGCTTAGGGAATACATTCCCAAGGATAAAGTCTGAGAGTTGTGACACTTTCGTCTTGATAGAACGTGAGGTGAGATGAATTTCAACAATCTGAGAAGCATTGAATATAGTCACACATGGAATGATAGAATATACGCAGATGTGTTAAAGCCTGGAGTGAAAATTTATTGCTTTCTGGGTTGAACTTGAAAAGTTCCTTAGACTCTTTTGATGAGGGATTGAAAGGTTCCTCAAATTGGAGTTCTAGACGAGTGAGACGAGGCGCCCAAGAACTGATAAACCAAGGCGTCTTTTCTAATTGAAGGCGGGTACAATTGTGAATCACAAAATCTACTAACCGAGGGGGACCTTCATGATAGCCCCAAGAGGCCTCTATGGCATCCATGTCTTCCATGTCAAGGCATTTGAGGTTTTTGAGGTTGTAAAGACAGCTAGCAAGGTTGCCAACATCTCTCCTGTCTTCAACGTTAACATATCTGAGCTTGAGTGATTCAAGCAGTGGGAGATGTGTGACAAATCTAGTGATGCATTGCGCTACCATTGAAAACCCAGTCATGTGGAGATCTCAAAGATGGCCGAGTTTGTTATGATTAGTAAGATGACCGGTGATTTGCTGTGAAGCTCTGATGTGTTATTTGTGCCTTGCCCTGTCATGTTGTTTTGTGCTGATCAATGTTCTGCCCTAACTGTGTGTTTGCTGACGGATGATTGAATGACGTCATTGATATGTTTCTCTTAAATAGTCGACTCTGAAGCTCTCATCTCAAACAATAAACATCCCACTTTTCAATTATCGTTTCTTCTCTTCTGTTGTTTCTCTTTGATCGTTAAACAAGTTGTGTCAACCAACAATTCGTTCTAATCACTCAATACTACACAACAAATCTATTCAACTAAAAAGCTGAATATGAATTGAACTCAAGCTCTTATCAAAAGGAAAGGAGGTATACAAGCTTTTCTCGATTCAAGGATTATTATGTTTCCATTCTCTTTGTCTAACTCAAACAATCGATTCACTTAAAATGTAGACTTCCCTTTTGGTTACATTGTTCGATTCAAAATTCCTGTTACAAAGTTGAATCTCATAAGTGTAGTTATTGTTAAAGGTACAAAGCTTTCTCTTTATATTTTTCTCTCTTTCTTATTATTAAAAATGTTGTTACATTTTTTACTTACAAAACTGTTGATCTGGCTTCAGGGGAAATGGACTAAGCGTACGACCTGCCGTCTTTCCCCCCCCTTTTATCTCTTTTT